AGTGCATATAATGGTCAACCTGATCGTAAGGTTACTCTTGCTGGGCCTCAGTTTGGATTGAATCTTGTTCTCAATGTCAGTGTATCAGAATATTCAAGGCTGAGCAGCTCTAATGTGGGAGTTAAAGTATCAGTTCATGATAGGAATTCTATACCAGTCCCTCATCAAGTTGGAGTAACTCTCTCTCCTGGAAAAAATTCTTATCTGGCCATTGAAACAGTAAAGCACATTGATAAGACCAGAGAATCAAACTGTGTTAGACATGACAGATCTCTTGATTTTTTCCCAGGATATTCTTATGCTGTTTCTACTTGTCGTATTGATGCTGAGTATAGAAATTACGCTGATGTTAATAAATGTGGTTGCTCTCCTGAAGTTAACCCTTCATCAAATGTTAACACTCGTAATTGCACAATAGCTGATATCTGCTGTCTCTTTCAAGAAAGGCGTACCTTTGATCCATCAGTCAACTGTCCTCCATCCTGTGAATATCTTTCCTATGACATCCAGCCAAGCTATTCAGATTTATACACTGATGGAGAATCAGGAAGAATAAATTTGATTTCACTTTATGTTTACTTCGATACTATGCTTGTTACTCAGCTATTCACTGATTATTCTTATACATTTGCTAATCTGTTAGCAGATATGGGAGGTCTGCTTGGTTTGTTTACTGGAGCTAGTGTCATTTCTCTACTGGAAGTGTGCATACTGTTATTTGATGTTCTGAAGAGCCTGCTTTTAACACCACGTGTAAATAAAGTTGTTGCTGAACTGGAAAATAAAATACATTTGCCCGAAGTCGAAATAGAAGAACCAGAATCAGATGATTCATTGTAATTCCATGCAAGAGTGCATTAATGATAAAAGTGGTATCATGCACTCTTGGTGACTATGATCAATATTATTACTTTTCATAATGTTTGTTTATAATGATTGATGCACTAATGATGTGTTACATACAGGAAGCACTTAATTAAAACTTAACAAGCCCCTCCTACATTTGAGCAAATTAGCAAAACAACAATGCCATCGAAAGACAAAGGTGAGAATGATCCTCAGGAAAATACTGGCGTCAGAAATAGGAAGGAAAAGTCCTGTCAGAACCCACAATTCACTAAATGGGCAGAGAGCTCTACAATTCACGGGGTGGACCACATCTTTTTGGGGAAGTCCAAAGTGAGGCGTGTAGTGTGGGCAGTCATCCTCCTCTTAGCCATCGGGGGCTGTCTGTACGGGATCATAGACCGCTCCATATACTTCGCTAGTAAGCCTACGGCTACAACAGTGACTGCTGACATCAATGAGGATGGTATCCCCTTCCCTGCGGTAACGATTTGCAACTTGAGTCCCATCAGTCGTCAGTATGCAGACCAACACAACCTCACCAGTCTCCTTAGCTACATCCTTTTCACGGACTCTAATACCCATTCAAAAGGATTCATCTCATCCAACTGTCAAGCGAATCTCGAGCAGATCACTGATACCACGATTACCCTTAAAGACGTTTTTAGAGATGGCGCGAGGAACAGCTCCTTCATACTCGCCTGTCATTATGGAAGTGCTCGGAATAAAATGGATTGTGCAAACATGACGCTTCGGACAACCCTAACGCCCCGCGGACTTTGCTACACTTTTAACGGGGACCCCGCCTCCCCACCACTCCTTGTAAGATCAGTCGGTGAGCGTTTTGGTCTACGCATGATATTCAACATAAGTCAGTCAGACTACACTCACTCTATCAACGGTGACGCTGGCATTAGAGTATCCGTGCATACCCGTGATGAGAAACCAGATCCTCTTTTAAAAGGAATATCAGTTCCTCCTCGTTCCCATGCCTCCATTGCCCTCTATCCAATACGGAGTATCAGTAAACCGGAAATCACTCGTTGCGCTCCGACTGATACTCAACTCTCATATTTTCCCGGCCTTTCCTACACGACCTCGGGATGTCAAGCAAATGAGCATTTTGAGCGAAGCCAGGCCCAATGTGGCTGTGTTGATGTAGCTGAATCTGCTACTAATGATTGCACTGTTGAGGATATATGCTGTCTCTATGATGAAGGGACTTCCACTGATACTCTAAACTCCACTTGTCTTCCGTCTTGCAATAATATGATCTTCAGTTCCTCGGTGAGCTACTCTCAGTATCCGTCGGATGTAACCGTCTCCCTTTTAACTTCTTTTCAAAGTCAATCGGCCGAGTCTATTGACGATAACATACTAGCTCTTAATATTTATTTTGGGAGTTTGCACACCATTGTCACTAGCACTTATTATACTTATCTGTGGTCTGGTCTGTTGGCTGATATTGGGGGGCAGCTAGCTTTGTTTGTTGGAGCTAGTGTCATCTCTTTTATGGAGTTGGTTCTGCTCTGCTTTGATGAGACTAAATGCTCCGGTGTATTTATTCGCAAAAAAATCAAAAAGAAGCATGAGGAGCATGAGTTAGAGGAGAGGGATGACAAAGAAAGTCTTAATGGAGGAAAGATAGAAGACAAGCAAGCTAACACAAATGTATAAGCTTTTCAACATCTTTAGTTATATTTCTAAGTCTCTAGACTGTCTTGTGTCAGTAACTGTGTTCCTTTTATAGAAAAATATTTTTAAATGTCAGCAATTAAAATTTCTTTTAAGTAAAGTGTTATTTGTTTCAAAAATTCATACTCTATTGCACATTAGTAATGTGTTACTACAGATGTACATGTAGAAAGCTTGAGCCAAGCTTTGGATGACTATATAGTTGTGAATGCCAAATTTTAAAAGCATGGAGCATTTGCTGCCAACGCACTCTCCAAAAATTGTAATGAAATTAATATTTAGTATGATTAGTGTTATTATGCTTAGATATAATACATAGACATATGCCTTATGCTGCAAGTCAAAAATGGTTTAAAAATATATGCACTAATTTTTTTGTACAAAATCTCATATATGTTAACTACATGCATGTTCAAACTACATGCATGTTCAAACTACATGCATGTTCATGCTTTCCTACACACGAGTTGAGGAATTGAGCTATGAATTTTGGGCTATAAAAGACTTTTAGATTCCAAAAAGTATATAACTCAAAATTGAGAAATAAACAGGACAGCCAGAATGAACATAATGTACTAGTACACGCACACGGTTAAGGTAAACTTTGATAAGAAAATAAAAATCAACCTACACAATACAAAGAAAGATTCCAGTCTATAAAATAAGTTACTAAAAACAATACTAGTAGCACTATAAACGTCTAGTTGGAGGCGAGAGCCCCCATTGGATCCCACGGAGGAAGGACTACTGCCTCTTGCTTCAATACATCAACAATCTCTTGGGGAACATATTTCTTATCAACGACTATTTCATAGACGTACTCAGTGAACCAATCATCGGTTGCCATGAGGTATCCATACTGGCCACAGTCAGTACCCCAGGAGTTCTCTACTCTCCAGCGTACAGGAACAGTGCCTACTTGTGAGGCAGACTGGTCCTACAAATAAGAGAATTTAAATATAATGCACACAATATTTGGATGCCTAAAACTGAAACATTTGTCAAAAAAGGCTAGATATCTACATTTTGTGATGTACATATTGATGTACTTGTGCTCTGTAAAAAGTTTAAGCCAATTCCAACTTTAATTTTTCAAGTCTATATGACCATTTTTAAAAAACTCCAAATTTCTGAAAAATAACCTGTACTATAGCCCATGGTTCTTTCCAGAAAATGGCTCCAAAATCACCCCCAATTTTTATTACATTTTCTGATACATATTGATGTACTTATGCTATGTAGAAAGTTTGAGCCACTTCCGACTTCAATTTTTCAAGTTATGGCCATTTAAAAAAAAACTCAAAATTTAGGACAAATACCCTGTACTATAGCCCATGGTTTTTTCCAAAAAAATGGCTCTAAAATCACCCTCAATTTTAATTACATTTTCTGATACATATTGACGTACTTACGCTGTGTAGAAAGTTTGAGTCGATTCCAACTTCAATTTTTCGAGTTATGACCATTTTTTAAAAACTCAAAATTTAGGAAAAATACCCTGTACTATTATAGCCCATGGTTTTTTCCAAAAAATGGCTCCAAAATCACACCCAATTTTTATTACATTTTCTAATACATATTGATGTACTTATGCTACGCAGAAAGTTTGAGTCAATTCCGACTTTAATTTTTCGAATTATGACAATTTTTAAAAACTTCAAATTTTGGAAAAATACCCTGTACTATAGCCCATGGTTTTTTTCCAAAAAATGGCTCTAAAATCACCCCTAATTTTTATTACATTTTCTGATACATATTGATGTACTTATGCTACGTAGAAAGTTTGAGCAGATTCCGACTTCAATTTTTCAAGTTATGACCATTTTTTAAAAACTCCAAATTTCGGAAAAATACCCTGTACTATAGCCCATGGTTTTTTCCAAAAAATGGCTCCGAAATCATCCCCAATTTTTATTATATTTTCTGATGCATATTAATGTACTTATGTTATGTAAAAAGTTTGAGCTGTTTCTGACAAATATTTTTCAAGCTATGAGGATCAAGTCTAAAACTCTAACCTTCAGTTGTACTGCAGTGATGAGCATGGCATGAGTCATGAGTGACTCTCCATACTGGAGCCTCTGTGCTTTAGTCATTCCAAGTATGGAGACTCCCAAATGAAGCATGGTATCATATCTAATTAAAAAGATACAATTAATAATAATAATAATGATAATATATAAATGCAAAGTTGATCAACATGTATAAAAATAATTAAAATGGCCACCATCTTGAAAGTAAAATTATTGCCTAGAATTAATTATAATACGAGTAGTGCCTTGCTCACACCTACTGTACAATACTATTACATGTACATGTATTTCACTTACACTTCAAGGTCATTGAGACCACTCTTCCTTTGCAAATGGGCACCAACATCACAACCAAACCATACAGGCTAAAGGGAGAGGGAGAGAAAGAGTATCAGTTAAAATGGTTTAACCAATAAAATATCACCAAAAGATACATTATAGCCAGAAGCTTTCAAGTGACTTAATAACTTTTACAAACATCTTCTTTTTAATTTGGACACAAAAATTTCATAGAACAGAATGAAACAAAATTAATTTTTCCTGAAAAGCAACTGGCTATAAGGTACTAGTAAAATGCCTCCATACCTCTTTGTCTCTAAGAGAAGCAATGGCGTACTTCTTGAGATCATCACTGCTCAGATTAACGTACCTCACTGGGTATCCTTCCTTCATGTTACCAAGATACTGCACAGTGTAGAGGCGATGGAAATCATGAGCTGGTCTTGGATCATTGATAAGACAAATCTACAATGTAAGAGAGAGTACAGAATAATTTTTTTAAAATAAATAAAGTGTACATAATTGGAGTGGTATATATATATGGATCAGTAAATGTATTAAAAACTAAAAATTTTGTATGCAACATTTTTATGAAAAATAATGAATAATTTCTTACCTTAGACTCAACATCAAAAACTTGCTTCACGTAATCTTCGTAAAAGGATTTTGGAGTTAGATTAGGATAGTACTTATAGTAGTGTCCTTGCTTGGACTTGTATTCCCAATCAAAGGTAGTGGGCGGGACACCAAGAGCTATGACACAGATCCTATAGGTCTACATGACAAAAGACACTATCATAAAATTAAGTCATCATATCTATCATTTTATTATTATTATTATTATTATTATTATTATGAGAGAAAAGGGCAACAAAAAGAGAGGAAATATATAGAAAGGAGGAGAGGGAGAACCCGAGAGAAAGACAAAAGGAAAACAAAATAAACAAAAGTTAAATAGACCCATTATTATTATCATTATTATATATAATGATTATTTTATTGTTAAGGTAGGTTAGAAAAAAAAGTTGAAATATGCAATGAAATATGCAATGAAATATGTAAGTTGGAGAAAATATGTTAGAAATAAAATATAATTAAGTTAGGAATAGATAATAGATTATTATTATTATTATCATCGTCATTGAAGGAAAAGTCCTTTTACTTAAGAAAATTACTGTACAATCACAAACTAAGTGTTCCATGCTTTTAAATGTCGGCATTAATATTTACTTGTAATTGAAGGCTAAAATGAAAGTGGCATCATTGTGATAATAATACTATAATAATCCTTTTATAGTAATTAGTTAAAGTTTATTTTGTTTAACATCAAAACTTATAAAAGAATGCAAACACTAGCTCTCTCTGACCTCTTTCAACATGGACAGCTTCTCTTTCCTTAGCTCTTCATCAGTAGCTTCAGTCATACCTCGCAATCTGCAACAATACTCGCGAAGCTAGAGAATAAAAAAATAACACACAAAAACAACAATAAAATTTAATCTTTTAATTTCTAAATTTAAATTTTTTTAAATTTTGAACTCCAATTAAAAGGAGTTTGTGTTTGTATTAAATAATACAAACACAAAAATTAAAAGGAGTTTCCTCCACAAGTATTAACAAACGTTACAAGAGTTTACTTTTAAGATAAAGTACATTAGTTTAATAGGAAGGGGGTATTTCCATAGTGTGTGTGTGGGGGGTTGTCCTCTTTACCTTGTTAGAAATTATCTTGTTCAAATTACGACTAGCCTCTGAGCTATGGGTCTCGGGGTAGTACACTTTGGGTACCAAACCGTACTTTTTGACAAGGTTGACAATCATGTCCCACTGCCCACCATCATTGTAAGGTTCAGTGAGAAGAAACCCCATGAGACGCTCCTCTAGAGGCTCACGTCTGGTTTGTATGAAGACCTCAAGGAGGTAGTTGGTTCGCTCTATCTTGTCCCAGAAGAAGAGGTAAGCCTGACTGAACTCAAAATCAAAGAGATCAAACTTCTTGATGAAAGGGATCCTTAACGAGAGAGAGGAAAAGAGAGAGAGAGAGAGAATGTGTACGCATGTACTTTAACATATACAATGGTACCGTATAGTAGGAAATTTTGGTGGGAATCAAATTTGGTGAATTGGCATTTTGATAGCAATTCACTAAAATAAAAATCCGCCATTTTCAGCAATTATATGCATGCTCAATGGCACGTGACCACAAATTCGCCAAATTAAAATCCGCCAAATTAAAATCCGCCAATCACCTAAAATTTAGCAATTTGCCAAATTTTACTCCCTCCAAAATTTCCCAGTAAGTTGGGTGTGGTCTGATTACAGGCGAGACTTTAACATGCTAAACAAAAAGTACGTCCTAACCTCACAGCGTTGAGGAAAGCAAACAACCAGCACCTCCCGGAGGACCTTTGGTTCGTAACTGGCTTCCCTTCTTCCATTACTCCACAATTGTAGACATGAACGCGTCCCTTAAGCTTATCATGGTCTATCATGCTGTCCAGTAGCCCTTGTTTAACGGCAGAGTTCCTTGCCACTTCATATTTGGGTTCCTCTTTGTAGCTTTTGTGCAATTCCTGTATCAGCTCAGGAGTAACTTCTTGAAAGGAATCCATCTTGCTTTGTTGTTCTTGGGTTATCTATGGGCGTGGCAAGCGAATACCAAACTCCTCCCACAACATTTACTGTTGTATATTCAAATATCCGGGAGTGCGCTAAAACCACGTGGTTAGGTTTGTATACTTGAATGTTCCGGAAGTGCACTGAAACCACGTGGTTTTATGACTTGTCTGGTATACGCATGCGCAGAATGTCAGAATGCTGTTTCCCGGGGTGGGGCTACGCATGCGCAAAGCTCAATAATTGCACTGCAAAGAGGCAAACTGGTTTGAACCGGATTGGAGGAGTGCTAACCGCATCTCTTGACTGCTTCTCGCTGCCTCTTCTCTTTACTCAGCACTCTGCACTGTATAAAAATCCTGGTAAATCCGCGTCCTTATCTGTCATTACATATTCCTTCAAAAAGCGACACAGCGAGAGAGTGTCATATTTTAAAGTCCTTCTATCAAGTATTTTTACTACAAATACTTTTTAAATACAGGATATCTAACAATGGCAGCACAACAAGAACCAGTAGCAACTTTCAAAGTTGGTGGATTTTATTTGTATTAATGTTTCTAATTAATGCCCTTTTCAATTTTTTTTCAGCTTGTTTTGGTTGGTGATGGAGGTACAGGAAAAACGACTTTTGTCAAGCGTCACTTGACGGGAGAATTCGAAAAGAAATATGTTGGTCAGTTTAAATAAAATTGAAATTATTGAATTACTTTTTTACAATTATTTAAATACTGATTTATTTTGCCTTACATGTTGCACATGTTTGTGTCCCATTTCAAAGGTGGGTCTTTTATTAATTTTATTTATGGATAATGGATAATAGAGATGGGTGTGGTTTTATTAATAATATTCATTGCAATTGTGTGCAGCATTGCAGTATAAACTAAGGTCCATGATATTACATGGATAGATTAAATTGTAGGGGAATATCAAATATCTTGAGCATAATTAACATGAAATTGAAATTAAATTAGTATATTTAACATGAAATTGAAATTAAATTAGTATATCTTTTGTAGCCACGCTTGGTGTTGAGGTACATCCACTCGTCTTTTACACAAACAGAGGCCCAATCCGGTTCAATGTCTGGGACACGGCGGGTCAAGAGAAATTTGGTGGTCTAAGAGATGGCTACTACATCCAGGGACAATGTGCCATCATCATGTTTGACGTGACGTCTCGAGTTACATACAAGAATGTGCCGAATTGGCATCGGGATTTAGTCAGAGTCTGCGAGGGCATACCCATAGTCCTTTGTGGGAATAAAGTTGACATCAAGGATCGTAAAGTCAAGGCCAAAGCTATCACTTTTCATCGAAAGAAGAATCTTCAAGTAAAGAGAGAGATGTGGAATTTAAAGAGTGTTCATATTTAAAATAGAGATTTTTTGAGCGCTATGTGTATAACTAATGTGCTTGAAACATTTATATACAGTACTCATAGTAAAAAACCAACTGTCTTTCTTTCTCTCATTCCTTCTTCTCTAGTACTACGACATCAGCGCTAAGAGCAATTACAACTTTGAGAAACCTTTTCTCTGGTTGGCAAGAAAACTCGTCGGTGATCCCAATTTGGAGTTTGTGGAAATGCCTGCCCTCGAGCCGCCCGAGGTCCAGATGGACCCAACTTTAGCTGCCAAATACGAGCAAGAGCTAAAGAGTGCGGCAGAGGTAGCATTGCCCGATGACAATGACGATGATGATTTGTAATAATTTAACGAACTACAAACTTTTCTTTGTGTATTTGTTCAGTTGTACCCCTCGCTATAGTAATTTTAAAATAATAACAACAATGATAGTAATGAAAAATAGTAGTAATACTGTTGTTCTAAAATAATTATAATATTTTTAGTTGAGGGTTAAAATTTCTATGTAAATTAATAACTCTGCCCCTTACCCACGTGCAACAATGTCTCTTCCAGAGTGTCCAGTTTGCTTAGTTCTTTTGGAGGTACCAGTGACTCTTCCTTGCTCACACGAGCTTTGCCTGGAGTGCTACAAGAGCTCTCTGGACTCCGCTAACTTTTACTGTCCACTGTGTCGGAAGAGGTTTTCCTCTTGGTCCAGAAATGTGTCAGATCCTGTCAACTCTAGAAGGCTGAAGGAGCTAGAGTCCACATACAGGAGTCTGGGTCCAATAGAAAGCCTCAGACTGGCCACTACCTTAAGAGAAGGCGAGGAGGAGAGACAAGAAGGGTCTAGCAGCCGCTGTTGCTCCGAGGAAGGTGAAATAAATTCTGAATATACTCTAGCTGTTGAGAAATACCAGCTGGAGAGAGACGAATTGGAAGCTGAGGATAGAGAAGCATCGCTTAGGCTACAAGAGGAGGAGGAGGAGCTAGCGATTGAGATGAGCTGTCAACTCATACAAGACGAAAGCCTTGCAAGGGAAATCATGCAGAAAGACCAAGAAGCTCTTAATACTGAGATATCAGATCAAGTAGAAGCAGACAGAAAGCTAGCACTTGAACTTGAAAAGGAACTGAGAAAAGAGAAGAGGGTCCCAAAGTCAACCAAGCAAGAAGTGACACTTTATAAATGGTTTAGTGTTGTACCCAAAAAATAAACAAAACTTTTGATATTACACGTGAGCGTAGCAATTTCATTGGCTAAAGTGTCGCCCGCCACATACACGTGGCTCGAGGGATCTGATTGGCGGACGTTGGACGGTAATGATGATAATAATTAGTGATCTGACATTCACCCACTTACTTCCAGTTCCCTTTTATTTGTACTACACAAGAGAGGCCACGCTTTTAGGAGCAGCTCCCAGCCCCTTCTGTCCTCCCTCACTGGCAGTCTCGCACGCCAGAAACAAAATATAAAAAAGAAAGCAGCATAATTGTAACAGCCAGCAAGTCACCAATATGGATGATAGCTACTATCACGAGGTTGACGCCATTTTGGAGCATTTTGACGTTAAGCCAGACGTTGGACTGGACGAGGAGAGAGTCAAACAGCAGAGAGCTAGCTTTGGATGGAATGGTAAAGGACCAGTGACTTTTAAAATGAATAATGACTCGATTCAATAATGAGTGTTTGTTGCTTTTGTGGTCTGTAATTAAAAATGTGTCAAAACTACCTCATCCTCTCTCTTTCTCTTTTTTTTAGAATTGCCAGCAGAAGATGGTGAGTAGATCATTTATATTCTCTCTCCCTCCCTCTCTACCATTCAAATCTCTTATTCTTTTGTTTTAAATCCACTCTCATACATAGTTCCATACTAGCATGTACACACATACACTTGCATTCTTTCATTACTGTACAGGACGTTAGTAATTACCACATGAATCAATGCCTCTCTGCATTCTCTTGTTAAATACCTTCTTCCTCCTTTCTACATACCTGCTATATGTAGTATTTATCACCTTTCAAAGCAAAATGGCTGCATATTGTGGTAACAAAAAGAAAGAATAGTCATCATTTTACTCATTTGCATGTTCTTTTAAGATATTCTGGAACAAGTGTTCATCTCCCTCCCTCTCCCCTCTCTCTCTCTCTCTCTCTCTCTCTCTCTTTGAAGTATTCTAGTCTTTGTTTATCGTCAGCTTTCAAGGAATTCATTATTTATTATTTTTGTTTACTTTTCCTTGAATAACATTTGCATTATAATTATAATTACTTCCCAAGTTTACCCATTCAGTTGTCATGAATAATGATAAAAATGATTTCCACAATGTCCATGTAGAAGATATACATGTACATCTAAATGTGTAGGAATGACTTTTGAGCTGTAAAGTTTTTGAGTCAAGTTTGCATATATTTTTGAAATGACAAAAAAGTAAAGATATTTTGTAGTCCTATCTATCATTCATTGGTTCCATTTCTAATGTAATGATTGTACTAAATATTAAAGCTCCAAATGTTGGTGTGTATGTACATGTATGTAATAGCTAGGAGTTATTCCTCTCAGTGTGGTTAGATGAGGAATGTTGATAGTTGTATTATTGATTAGGAATTATGGTCCACTGTTTGAAGTGTGTCTCATATAGAGGCCTGAACATCCTGTCTACAACTAATGGAGTATGTCACTTCATTGTAGAGTAAAGTGATGCTTAATGATCATGAATGGGTGATGATGATGATGATGATGATGATGATGATGATGATAATAGCCTACAGTACATCTAGTTGTAATTCTGTTATAGTCTATACTTGTAATGATCTGTCTGTCAATGTATGTATCAATGTGATATCACTTCATCCTATGTTTGAGTGACTTAAGGGGATAGTAATTCATGGACTCTGTTCTTTCTTTCTCTCTCTTTCTCTTTGTTTTTTATAGGCAAGTCCCTCTGGCAGTTATTCCTAGAACAGTTTGATGATCTTTTGGTTAAAATTCTTCTGGCAGCTGCTACCATCTCCTTTGTAAGTTTGGCTCCAAATTCTTACTATCATTAGCCAATGGACATCCTTCCTTTGTGTGTTATGCCCTTGTATCTGAGTGTGTAATTATCATTGCATATGCTGTACCTGTGCTCACTATACTACAAAATAATGATAACTGTAGATTATATATACGTGTATATCTGTATGATTATTTATATATGTACATGTATGTGCTATTATTTGTTTTTATAATGTCATTTTTCTCTCTCTTTGTTTCTCTCCCTCCCTCTCTCTTTCTCCTGATAGATTCTTGCTTGGTTTGAAGATGAGGATAATCAAACAACGGCTTTTGTCGAACCGTTTGTAATATTGACTATTCTCATTGCCAATGCTATTGTTGGTGTTTGGCAGGTAAGAGAGAGACATTTAAAAAATTTTTGAATTCGCGCATCTCTGGATAACATTTCCTATTCTGTTTCTTTATGTTGATTCACCTTTCTCCCCCCTCTCCCTACCCCCTCTCTCTCCCCCTCTCTCTCCCTCTCTCTCTCCCTCTCTCTCTTTCTCCCTTTCTCTCTCTCCCTTTCTCTCTCTCCCTCTCTCTCTCTCTCCCTTTCTCTCTCTCCCTTTCTCTCTCTCCCTCTCTCTCTCCCCCTCTCTCTCTCTCTTTCTCTCTCTCTTTTTAAAGGAAAGAAATGCTGAGTCAGCCATTGAGGCGCTCAAGGAGTATGAGCCGGAGATGGCAAAAGTGATAAGAAAAGGAAACTCAAACCCAATGAGGATAAAAGCAAGGGAGCTTGTGCCCGGAGATATTGTGGAAGTGTCAAGTAAGAGGAGTAATGGAATCATCTTAAACATTAATTCTTTCTCTCTCTCTTTCCCTCTCTCTCTCTCACTCTCTGTCTCTCTTTCCCTCTCTGTCTCCCTCTCCCTCTTTCTCTCTGTCTCTCTCTCTCTCTCCCTCTCCCTCTCCCTCTCCCTCTCCCTCTCCCTCTCTCTCTAGTTGGTGACAAGATTCCAGCTGACATAAGAGTGATAGAGATAATGTCCACTGTCCTAAAGATTGATCAATCTATACTGACTGGTGAACATGTATCTATAATGAAAATCACTGATGCTGTACATGACAAGCAAGCTGTGAACCAGGATAAAATTAACATGCTATTCTCCGTAAGTACATGTACATGTATAACAACAGAGAGAGAGAGAGAGGAAGGGAGGAGAGGGAGTGGTTTAAAAGAAAGATTGTGGCCATGCCAAATTTGTTTATGTATTGTATCCATGTACATGTACATGTACATGGATAATAAGCCAAATAAACATATGCACATTTGGATTTTAACATTACAATTTTAATATTTATAATTCCATAATTCAGATATCAATTTTACTGTTTTTATAAATATAATAAAAATTATATTGTACCAAATACTATGTGTATACATACACCACAGTTGTACAACTGTAGTTGTACATGTACATGTGCATATATTTACATGTACATGTACATGTACCTCTCACATTTCTATAAAGGGTAAGATGATCATTATTATTAATTTCTTTATTATTAATGTTTCCATGGTATTGCTAACAGTCCTGGCTGTTATGTCAGAAAGGAGGCTTTGGTCTGATATCTGTATCCTTTTCACAAGATGAAATAAATAGGGACAGGCGAATGCAGGTCCCTTTCATCTTGTTACTAGTGCAGTGTACATGTACGTGCTGTTATTGTTATTTTCAAGAGTGAATCGGTACTACATGTACATGTAAATGGCAGAAAGGATATTACGTACATATGTGCTACCATTAATTATTGCATGTATGAATCGTTATTTGTAATGTCATACTTACTATGCTAAAATGGCTCTATCTGTATTAGATCTACATTTGCAAAAGCTGACCACTTAGCTACCCTTTGCATACATGTACATGTATTTCTCATTATATTTTGTATTCTACATGTACATGTACATTATAAGCACATTACATGTATGTTTACTTGTACATGTATTGTTGTTGTTGTTGTTGTTGCTATAGCCTTTGCTGCTACTATCAAACATACTGTATAGATATTGTTTAATTTCTATAGTATACTTTAGGAGCACAAACTGACTGATTACTGACTGATCTATGAATCTCTTTTATCTTAATTGCATGTTGTATAAGTGCATGTTTGTGTATGTAGTCCTCTTCTGTTTGTTGTAATTGGGTAATCTTGTTAGCATTCTTCTGGTTACCTTTTCCTCTTCTCTTGTTTATCTTGAGCTCTTCTTGACGTGTATCTACTCCTTTGTGTACGACCGTTTGTGTGTACATGTACATGTATTTAATGGTTTTCTAATTGATATAATTATAATGGCCTGTTTCCTGTTTGAAAGCAACTGAATTAGAGAGAGAGAGAGAGAGAGAGAGGAGGGGGAGAGGGAGGGAGGGAGAGAGAGGGAGAAAGAGAAGCACTTTTGTTTTTCCTTGTTACATTTAATTATGATTCACATTCCCTGGATTACTGTCAATGATAGTAATTCGAATTATTGATGTGCTAAAAAGACCATCTCCTCATCTCTCATACGCTTCTTCTAAACGCTTCCTCTAATCCCATACTAGCTAGCACACATCCATTACAATCATGGTTGTCTTTTCTCTAGGGGACAAATGTTGCCTCTGGCAAAGCAAGGGGTATAGTGACAGGGACTGGAATGAAGACTGAGATTGGTAAGATCAGGAGAGACATTGCTGAAGAGGAGGACTCTAGGACTCCATTACAAGAGAAGATCGATGAGTTTGGACAGCAACTATCAAAGGTTAGTAATGTACATGTATTTCACTTAAATGTACATGTAAAAAGTACATGTATTTTTATCCCTTGTCCTTTATCTTTTTAACTTGCTTTATTTCTCTCAATCTTCTCATTTCTCTCTCCCTCTCTGTGTTACTGTGTCATCCTTTCTCCTCTCATCAGGTTATATCATTGATATGTATTGCTGTATGGCTCATTAACATTGGTCATTTCTCTGATCCTGCTCACGGTGGCTCATGGGTTAAGGTATGTACATGTTATACTGTACTCTAATGTACTTAATGTAATGTCATTAATTGTATTTATAATAGACAAGTACATGTACACTGTATAATTGTAATGATAATAAAAGTGTTGGTGTGACCTATTCCTCTCTCTCTTCACAGGGTGCTATTTATTATTTCAAGATAGCAGTTGCTCTTGCTGTGGCTGCCATCCCCGAGGGACTTCCTGCTGTCATCACCACCTGCCTGGCACTAGGTATTTTATAATTATTATGTCATCATAACTATAGCTCTGACTACCACATGTATACCAGGTACCCGCCGAATGGCGAAAAAGAATGCCATAGTCCGTAAGCTTCTTTCTGTGGAGACTCTTGGGTGTACTTCGATAATATGCTCAGATAAGACTGGGACTTTGACTACTAACATGATGTCTGTTAGTAGAGTAAGTTATGCACTTACAATATTGTAT